GGTTCACTCGCACACCTTGTGAGGTGTGGCCTATCGTTTCTTCGTTAGCTGGAACATGTACGACATCAGCCGCCCCTGCGAAGGGGGAATGGAGAACATCTGCTACCCCGTCACTGCGTACGCGTATATCGAAGAATCCTTCGACGCTGCTGACATGCATCTACCAGCGAGATCTCGGCCTACCTCTCTCGCCCGGACGTACGCGCCACGCTAGGTGTCGATGCAGAAGTCCCGGATGAATACGCCTTGTGCAACTCGTCTGTCAACGCGGCTTTCCGTAGATCCGGGGACCCTTTCCGGTACCATTCATCGGCGGAGTACGTCAGTGCGCTGCTTGAGCGCGGGGTAAGGGTATTGGTGTACGCGGGGACTTACGGTGAGCCCTGAGCACAGTGCGGGGCCCCGCGGGCTTCCCACAACTTCTCCGCTCCCGCTGCACTGCGCTAGAGCCTAAATCTGAGACAATACATCCGCAGATTTCGCGTGTAACTGGATCGGGAACGAGAGGTGGACGCTCGACCTTGAATGGCCAGGAAAAGAAGCATTCAACGATGCGATTCTGCGTGAATGGAGGGCTATCGGCGAGCGAGCCGGGTTGACGAGGTCTGCGAATGGGTTGACATTTGCCACCGTCGACCGTGCAGGGCATCTGGTGAGTACCCCACAACGATGTTGATCCCCTGAGTATAACGAGAGACCCTGTAGGCTGCGCACGATAAGCCAGAACAGGTCTTGGCTATGCTTAATCGCTGGTTGGCGTACGCCGATCTGTAGACCGCAAACGAATAAGGCAGATTGCACATTGATGCGGGGCGCTACGTTCAGCCGTCGGCTTGTAGCTGTGGCTCTGTTGTCCTGCCGAGTAGTTGATCGGAAGAAGGATGCACCTTCGGCTTCGATAATTTCATCTGCGCAACACATACTTTTGGAAATCGCCACAGCTAGGGCGCCTCCGAGCTCGGATCCGACCCACATACGTCCCAAACAGCTGATGTTCGCGGTTATCCTTCAGATCAGGTCGCAGTACTGCAGTGGGGACCATTGACGTTCTCTCCATTGTGTAGAGCGCGTTCCCTAATCGAGGGCGGGTAACCGAGTCCCTGCACCCGCGATCAGGTCCCGAGCAAGTCTCAAGACCAGAGCGCCCTGCTGGCGCCTGTGACCGAGTCTAAATGGTTCTGGCCGTCGCGCGCCGCTGAGTCTCACAGAGATACGCGAGCGTACAGCGTTTAGAAAGATCTTAGCGCATACGAGCACGATGCGATGACGACTTGCGAGAAGTGGTGGCTGCGATGCGAACTTGCGAAGGTGTAGTGCGGAGAAGTCGGGGAGTTGATCGGGCGTGTCGGCCCGGCTGAAAACGCGGTCACATGCGCGCTTATTGACGCGTCGCGACGCGTCTCGGTCTTCCGCAAGCGCCCTGCGGCGTGCGAGTAAGAGCCTGGCGGCCTTCCGTAAAGCTATTCTACGATTGATCCGGATCGAAAGAACGGAAATAATGCGCGGACCCGTGAAATCGGAAGCAGCGCGAGGTTCGAAGAAGGCTTGGGGAACCGTCGCGTGGGAGCGTCAGATGATCGAGCTGACGTTGGTCCTACCCCTCACTTTCGATCGGACTCGACCCCGCGCTACCCCGCATATATAAACGGGATCCCAAAGTTCCACAGAATTACCTGCGTTCTCGCTCTCTCTTCTCCCGCTTCTATCTCTCCATCCGTCGTCTCTTATCCACTTATCTACAATGGGCGGAACCACTTTCGACTACCAGTTCACGGGCGAGGCCTTCCAGGGCAAGGTCAACTTCCCCACTGGCGTCTTTATTAACAACGAGTGGTCTGACGGCGGCAACGGAGAGACCATCGAGTGCGTACAACGGCCGATCTGGCGTTCATATGTGATACTGACACGTTCGCAGCGTCATCAACCCCACGAATGGCAAGACGATCACCAAGATCTCACAGGCCGCCGCATCCGACGTTGACCGCGCCGTCAAGGCCGCTCGCAAGGCGCTGAACGAGACTTGGGGTCTCAAGTGCCCCGGTTCCGAGCGTGGCAAGCTTATGACCAGGCTCGCTGACCTTATGGACTCGCACTATGACGAGCTTGCCGCCGTCGAGGCTCTCGATAACGGTACGTAGACTTCCTTCCTTGTACAGCTAACGAGCTTCGAATACTCACGATGATCCGTAGGCAAGACGTTCTCGTGGGCGAAGAATGCCGATCTCGCCATGTCCGTGGGCACGATTCGCTACTACGCCGGCTGGGCAGACAAGAATCAGGGCAAGACCATTGAGACGAGCGAGTCCAAGTGAGTTTTTTTGTTCTTGGACGCGGAGGAGGTTAGTCCGAGGAGTGACGTGATCCGGGGTTGGCCGCCGCTGCCGGCGGTTGAAACCGCGGTCTCGTGACTTGCTCGCGCTCCTCCGCGCTTTTGCTTTCCCACGCTTCGCGCGGCGGCTGAATCCCCTTTCTAGAGTTGTCTATACGCGCCACGAGCCTAAGGGAGTGTGCGGACAGATCATCCCATGGAATTTCCCGCGTGAGTCTACGCTTTCCAGAGCTTTTTGAACGGTCCTGAACGCTACACGCAGTGATGATGATGGCCTGGAAGCTCGGTCCGGCTCTCGCGACCGGCAACACCATCGTTCTGAAGCCCTCCGAGTTCACGCCATTGACAGCTTTGTACATGACAAAGCTTATCAAGGAGGCTGGCTTTCCAGCTGGTGTCGTTAACGTTCTTGTCGGTTACGGCCACACTGTCGGCTCGGCGATCTCTGAGCATCCCGATATCGACAAGGTCGCCTTCACCGGCTCCACCCTCGTCGGTCGCAAGATCCAGGAGGCGAGCGCACGCACGAACCTCAAGGATGTCACTCTCGAGCTGGGCGGCAAGAGCCCGAACGTCATCTACGACGACGCGGACTTGGAGCTCGCCGTCAACTGGACTTCGCACGGTATCTTCTGGAACCACGGCCAGGCGTGCTGCGCAGGCTCCCGCATCTTTGTTCAGGAGGGTATCTACGACAAGTTCCTCGACGCTTTCACCAAGAAGGCTCTCAGCCTCAAGCTCGGCGACCCGTTCGCGAACGACTCGTACCAGGGCCCGCAGGTCTCGCAGCTTCAGTACGACGTGAGTCGCTCTTCTACCTATCAGCGCTAGTCCTAGATTTAATATGCCCTTAGCGCATCATGGAATACATTCAGTCCGGCAAGGACGAGGGCGCGACGCTCACCACTGGTGGCGAGCGCCACGGTACTGAGGGCTACTGGATTAAGCCCACTATCTTCACCGACTGCAAGCCTGACATGCGTATCGTCCGCGAGGAGATCTTCGGCCCAGTCGGTGTTGTGATCAAGTTCAAGGACGAGGAGGACGTTCTCCACCAGGCGAACGACACCGTTTACGGTCTTGCCGCCGCCGTGTTCTCACAGGACATCACGCGCGCTATCTCAACCGCGCACAGGTTGCACGCCGGCACTGCCTGGATCAACTGTGTCAACCAGCTGCACCCGCAGGTGCCGTTCGGCGGCTTCAAGCAGTCGGGTATCGGTCGTGAGCTCGGCGAGTACGCGTTGGCGAACTACACGAACGTCAAGGCTGTGCACATCAACCTCGGCCAGAACATCTGAGTGGGCGGTTGATCTTTCTTGTGTACTTGTATCTGTCTCTACTTTTCTTACACGCTGTCCATATGTACCTGTAGTCGTCTGCATCATCGGAATGTACGAGTTGAAGCATCCTGCATTGGTGTGATTGTAACAGTAAGCGAGTAACGCTAAGGCCTCGATCAGAGCTCTTCGCTAGTGAGCCAGCGGTTCTATGGCATCAGTTCTTGAGCAGCTTCATTTAGGGGATTTCGGATCTTCGGCGC